CTCTCTCTCTCTCCCTCTCTCCTCCCTTGCTGCTGACTACCATATGCCGATAGAAGTTTTTGTTCGAAGGTTACCAGTGTTACTTCAGCGACGCACCATGGCACGACAGGGACCGAGGAGGAACGATTCTCGATCGCGCAGCCGCAACCGAGGGCGACCAACACATCGCCGAGAGCGAAGTGCATCCAGACAGCCTCCAACCTACCGTCGTCAGGAATCCCTTGAGCTTCCGCGGAACTGGAGATCGAGCCCCACCGAGTACGATACCAATCGAGAGTATGGTTTGAACTTACCTCGTCAGGTGATCTCCAACAAATTCACTCGAGATTTACAGATTGATGGCATGGATATCTTCGAAGTGCGACTCGCTCAGGTGATGACAGGAGGCCTGAACAACTGGGGTCTCAGGTCCTTGGCCAATGGGCGACATACAGTCTGGGAGTCGTTCAAGTCCAGACAGGAGGCCATTACCGCAGGGACCTTGATGCGAGCTTTGAGAGGAGAGAACTCCACTCACTACAGTGGCGCGGATCTTAATTCTATTCTGACACACATGACCAAGAACATGTTCCCAGGGCAAGATCCATACCTGTGGGACAACCGGTACATGGCCATCAAGGAATTGGCCAAGGAACTCGCTAAGGTGGTGGCTCAGAAGGGACCTTCAGCAGCCAATCAGTCCATGTTACAGCAGATTCAAGAGCTTCATCGAGAGAATGCCAGGTTGAAGAGTGGGAAGGAACCAGCACCCAGTTCGACGATCCCGGCTAGCCCAGCACATACACCACCCCCCAAAGGTGTTCGCACTCCCAAAGGTTCGGTTGCTGCTGGTCTGACACCACTCGCCAGCCAAGGATCTCAGGCTTCAGGGGTCAACCCAACCCCACCATCGTACCGTCGACTCAAAGATCGACAAAACACAGCCGAAGCAGCAGACAGCGCCGCTCGGAGCTTAGAAGACTTTTAGAATGCTCGTCCCGCTGAAGGACCACCAGAAGAGTTTGCATTAGGGGATGAACATGAAGGTAACGACGAGCTCGTCACACTTCCCGGTAGCCCAGACTATCATCCTGAGGATTATGAAGATGCCGACCATGCTGACCCGTTGGAAACAGTACAGCAGTTTGAGCGCACTACTCAAACACGGTTTCTCGAGGAATGCAAGGTTGACAACTACAAGGTGAACACCATCAACAACTGGGTGTCTCAACGTGTCGGGAAGGAAAAGATGAAGCAGGTTCGCCTTGCAGGTTCGGAATTGGCAGCAGCCATCGAACGACTCCCAGCGGGCAATCGCCCGGCCATTGATGCCATCGCACTCCAATGGGGACTTCCAGTCAGTGCTGCTGCCAAGATCAATGAACGATCGTTGTACCAGTTGATTGCCACATGCCATGTGTTAGGACAGGAGTGACTCACGGAACCTACGACTGCCCGGGCCTCACGTCGCACCAGAGACTCAACAAACACGGTCTCCAGGCCTCAAGTTGTTCGCTTTCTTCAGGCATTTTTCCGATGGTTTGCATTGTTGCTGCCAGCTCTTTTTCGATTACTACCACACACCATTCTTGATCGTTTGCTTTGGGTACGAGCTCGCCTTTTTGTACAGGCCATACTTTCTCCGACAGGCTTTTATGGCACCAAGTTCTTTTGCAAACTTCGACAACTTTTCCATGCAAGGTGCCGTTTGATTACTCTTGGCTATGGCGCACTCAGGAATCCAATCCGTGGTGTATGCTCGCACCACACCAGTGGGATTTCGCGCAGGTGCTCAACTGTACATTGGATCCACAGGACAGACTGTTCATCGCAGGGAGCTTGCGAGGAGACGCAAGTTGATTCAGTTATCAAGGGATCGAATTGCCTACTATGAACCAGCTCTGAAGATTTGGCATTTCCAAGGGAGGGCCTATTTTTTGGGTCTTTTTTTTTTT